CACACACCCTTAAAGATGCTTACAGATGCAAAAAGTATACCCTCAGCCTCACATACATGCGCACACACTCCCTCAAACACTTTTATGGAGGCATTTTGCTGTGTAAACAGGTGCTGGAACAATATGGGAGTGTATAAATATACCAGTGTATTCTCCTCTCACTAGCATAATTTGCATTTTTAAAGACTCACTAATTCTCAACTCACAACTCAAACTAGGCATGCTCTACAATTCTTAACAGATAGGAGCAGCTCAGAGAAGATCTTTTGGGGATTTTTTTTAGACCACTGACAAGTAAAATTTGATGAAGTCTCATTTAGGTCTATTTTAAGAACAGCCAAACCGCCAAATTAAAGCAGCCTGTTTTTGTAGGGCCTCCGGTGGCTTGTTTAAATTTCATTGATGCACACAGAGGCTGCCCCTTGCTAAACTTTGTTGCTACAGTGACGCCTCCTGGTTAAAAAAGAGTACTTCATCCTCAATGTGTTTTAAAGGAGTTTCATCTTTGTGTCTCACATTCTGTTTTTCTCTCCATTTGCTAAAATGATAAATAGACAAAAATGAGTGTTGTTGTGTGCATGTACTCTGTAATTTATTGGATTTAAGTTTCCGACACAATTTATTTTCAAAGTCTTTTTTTATAGCAGTCTTTTTTTATTAAACAGCTAAACACACACTGATACATGGATGTGACTTTATGTGTGTATATATTTATTTTACTCTCTGTTTACAGGCTGTTTTACCATCACAGTATATATATATATCCCCTACATAACTGCACAACCTCAGTTCATTTATTTTTATCATTACTGTACTGTACTGTACTGTGTTTATTTTGTTTTATATGTATTATTTTTATTCCTATATTTGAACTTCTGAACTATTTTATGTCTTAGATCCCATTTTAACAACTGCTCCACTGTTCGGTTATATATATGACAATAAAGAACTTGAGCATAAATTTAACTAACATCCCATGAAGGATGTCTCTGAGACAGTTAATTTTTGTGACAAGCTCAGGTGAGCGAAGGGACAGACTGTGACCCTGCTCCAATCCATGTCTCAGGTGTCTTCAAACTTCTCCTCGGTTTTTCCCCTTTGCAGTCAGTAACAACAGTGCACTTGTTGTTTATTTGTTAAATTTATTGTACCCGTAAGAAATGTTGCGAGTCTAATCCCAGTATGTCACAGACCTCTAATACACTGGCATAATTTGAATTATGTTTGTTTTTGACAGCCTTTTTTTTATATACATATTTCTTATTGACTTTACTGACAAACCATGTGTCTAAAATGCCAGGGGCCTACTGTGGTGTTTTCCACATTAATTGAATTTGTCACATAGTGGAAATGCCTCTAAATTGGCACTGAATGAAAAAAAAAAACTCTCCAAGCTGTTCCTTTAGTCTGAGTGCCACATCCCAATGAAAGGACCTCTCTCCCTATGATCTAAAAGGAAAACTGAAAAACATATTTACTGGATCCAGTGACTATCTGTCATGTCCGTGTATATATATCCAATGTTTTAAAAAATGTCAATATGTGTTATCAAACTATCTCTACAGATTTATTTACTATGTTTACTAGTCATGTGCATCTCTCTTCACAACCACAAACGGCACAGTTATATGCCCTCACTCCAAATAGAAAATATTTTTACTTTACCACAGCCACTCAAAGTTTTATGTGAGGACATTAATTCAAAACCAACCAAATCAAACCTAGAAAATCAGCAGCACTCCTCTGCACTATGCCAAGTACATGAATGATTAGCTAAGAGGCCTCAGTGGTTTCAGCTCAGCGAGCATCACATTTGCATTAACAGCTTATTCTTGACGTCAAAAGGCACAGTGTAAGTGATATAAATGGCCATTTACCAGTGCTTTTAGAAGCCCCTTTGAGGTTTGATTTTACAATAGCTGAGAGATTAATTTAAGCATGACTGTGACCGAGGAGTATTAAATACACTGAGTGTATAGATCTTTCTTGTTTATAAACCTCATTAGTGTGTTTGTCAATGCTGTCTGTGTAAGCACAGTTGAATAAGTAATTTCATAACATTTCAGAACTGACTGCTCATGTACAAGAGATGCTCCTTTTCAAAATGATAATCAAACTGGCAAATCTGTGTGTGTGTGTGTGTGTTTTTTTAACCTATATTTGTATTCCAATCAAATCCATATTCTGCCTCAGTTATGCAATTAGTTGGAATGCTTCATAGACTTAAGCAGGGACTCCCACAGAGAAAGACAAAATGTTTAATCTTTAAACACATGTTTCATTAAATGTGAAGATTTTACTTAAATTTAGACATAATCTTTGGATGTACTGTTTAGATGAAACATGCAGTATATGGAACTGTATCAATAGTCAAATAAAACCACATTAAACACATTCATCTCATGATGTTTCTCAGAAATCAGTTACAGAAACAAGGCATCATTTAACTGTGTGTGTGTGTGTGTGTGTGTGTGTGTCCAGCATAATCTTTAGAAGCTTTGGCTATCCTCCTCTTCCACTGGCCTGCTCCGGGCAATTTCACTACATCTGCTACTGTGTGGCTCTCGAGGGATATTTTCAAAAGCCACACACACACACACACACACACACACACACACTAATATCAGGATTCTTGTGCATTATGTCCTGTCTGTACATTTAAACTCACAGGGGGGTTCTCTTTGTTTCTGGGAGGCTCTGCCCAAAGCTTCATTAGTATCTGTAAACTTTAGTTTAAAAGAGAACAAATCAGCAGCAGCAGGGAATACTATTTCCTATTCTGTATTCTGAAAGAGAAGAAATTACATTAAACTGGTGAGAATACACCGCAAAATACACATTTGCATTTCTTAAACATTCAGGAATGCTGTGAGTTGTCAGTACCAGTATGGCACGGCATTTCAAACAATAGTTTTGCTCCGGTGGCCTAGCGGAGTGAGTCCAATAACACAGGTCATAGGTGTGATCCCACAAAGATTAATACATTTTAGGAGCATCTTCCAGAGATTCAGAAGGGGTACTTCAATTCAGAGTTAAAAAGCTGAACTTGGATGGTGTTCGTGCTGCTGATGTATTTGAAGAAATAAGGAAAAAGGAGGATATGACAACACAGTTACATCATAGACAGCTGGGATGCTACTAGTATATACATATATATTAAGAATTAACATCCCGAGATAGCCTACTAATGAGTACAATAAATGCATATCTATGGCCAGACGGTAAGTGAGATATCACAGGTGAATACACCAGGTGAAAATACACATTACATGAAGAACTTATACTTACATGTATTACTAGTAACCTTCTATCCATCTAACAATCTATAAGCCTTTTGTGTTCCTTTCACCTCTTAATGCCAGCATTTGAGCTTAAATTGAGCATATTAAAAACATTTTTCTCTTTCACAGTTGAAAGAGCATTTCATTAACTAATCAATCTAGGGTTGTTGCTTATTTTTGCAGCCTGTTATCAGCTTAAAAAACAATTTTACTGGCATGGTGCTTCACAGAACAACAGGGGGAAAGAGGGGAAGTAAAATTTTTTTCCAAAGATGCTATATCACAAACAGCCACTAGAGGAGGTAGGACACAAGCCCATGATTTTCATACAGAGAAGGGCTCAGTCACATGTTGTCTTTAAGGAACACACGAAACCACAAACATGCCCAATCACTGTCAGATGAACAGCAGCCAACAATGACAAAAACAGATGCCCAGTGCAAGTGACAAACCTCCAAACAAAAGGACAATTTATTGAATTCTCCACCACTGAAATATAACACGCCTCCAGCAAGTAGCACAAACTTGATGTTTCACAAGAGACTCCGAGCCACTCCTGCCAATCTGCACTTCATTAGGCTGATTGCTTCCCTGTGTAAGCTACTTGCTTTGCCTGTCATTTCCCTCTGCCTGCCTGCCTGGCCTCTCTGCCTTCTTCTGATTAAAGGGGGAACCTCATAAATACGTTGCTGCCTATAAACGATTTCCTCGTTACATCAAAGTCACACGGAAGTTGTAAGCTGCTCTTATAATTGCAACAAAGCACAGGCACCTTTTAGCAGCCCCACACGCCACCAAACTCACCCTGCGGCTCTGTAAAAACTGGCGCTAAGCTGGAAAGGTCTGGTAGAATCTGGCTCATTCGAACCTTAGTCAACAGTGGTCATTAACATTAAGTTTAATGAGGCAGGAAGAACATGATGTTGATGAGAAGCAGTAACAAAGGATTTAAGTTGTTTGTGTGTAAGCAAACTAATATTGAATACATGAACATTAACACTTCTGCCACTTATGGGTTATTTCTAGTTAAATAAACAGTAAATGTTGCTGCAAGTGGCTGGTGAGATTTAGAAATATAAAGATTTGACAAAAGGTAGTTTCATGTTTTATAGAGATAAATGCTGTTGTGAGTTCTCACACTACTGTTGTGAAAACTTGAGCAGAAATACAGAGATAATGATTGCCAGAGAGACAACACACTGTATTTCTATACAACAAAACGTCATTATAAAAGTGTATCTACGCTTAAAAAAAAGAAAAAGAAAGTTTGACCAGTGTGGTAAATGACAGCTCAGTAATAACGGGAACTATCTGTGAAGTTGGATAATTTATGGGTATCATTTATGGCTTGTCAAACTTTGCCTTGAACCAACGTGACCACGTTCTGGTGGGAAACACAGACATGGGATTAAACCACACAAACATACACGCACATACCCAAAGCGCAGCTGTAAAGAAAAAAAAGTGGTTTCACTGGTAAAAAGACATAAAATTAGATCTCATTCATTTAAAGGAAACAGTCTGAAAGGCTTTAATTGTTTTGTTCATTTAAATGGTAAAACATTAGTTATATATATATATATATTATATATATACTATACTATATATATAATATATAAAACTGCGATAGCACGACCGTAGGCCCTTTCAAAAGGGACGTTCAGGAAGAACGATATAAAATACACTTTTGGTCACGACTCTTTAGTACCATACATTCTCACATAAATACACAACATAAGGCATACATACATCCCAGCATTATTATATTTCAAAGAGAATAAATATGTCTGCACTCTATAAATGCATGGTAAGAACATTAGGGAGTGACGGAAATGTTTTTTTATTGCTGCGAGAGATAAAAGAGAGACGATTGTGTAAAGTTTCCATTGTGGTGAATCATTTGAGGATTAAACTTACTGTCTGGAACAGCTCACGAACCTGAATTTGTCTGTTGTCGAAATTGAGAAGGTTTGAAAACAGTTTTTCAAGGCAGACACGTTTGCAGAATGGAAATTAAAAGGATGCTTCAATTATATGTTTTATTTGGCCTGAGTAGCTGAAACACTCATCATCCATACAAAGTGTACAAAGAGTCTTAATATTAAGGCCCAACACAAGGCACTGTATTGAATTAAGAGAAAGGCTTAAGTGAAACGTTGTACTTTGTATTATTGTGCCCAGTGCAAGTCCTCGCCCAGCTCAATTATTGCCAAAGTAAACAAGTATAAACAGCTGGACAGTAACGCCCCTCCTTATAGACATGTCATGTAAACAGGCAGTCCAAGGGGGCAAGAGGATGTTTTTTTTTATCCTCGCTGTAGAAAAAAATATATTTTTAATTTGACATGAAGTGCTCATTAAGTTGATTCAAACACTCCTTGTGCAGTAGATATATTATTAACTAACATAGATTTTTTTTTTTTTTTTAAATGTCAGCCACATGTCCTCTGTGTCCATTTTTGGGAATCCTTGGAAACATATCGCACCACATTTCACCAAAGTCTCTGATATTTCCATTTTTATGATAAGTGATACATGCTGTAGCCCAGAGGACCAGCATACAGTCCTAAAGGTGAAATGGGCAGCATGGGTCTGTGGTGGTGGTGATAGGCAGAGTACGACTGTCCATACAGTGACATGGCGCCCAGTGACAGTGGTAACGTAAAGCCAGGGTGCAAACCTCCAGCGGCGGCTGCTGCCACTGCCACCGTCTTGGCGTCAGCTGCCATCTTGAGTTTCTCCAGCTCGGCCTCCTGGAGCCTCTTGGCTTTGGCCCGGCGATTCTGGAACCAGATCTTCACCTGGGTCTCTGTCAGGGTCAAGGAGGAGGAGAACTCGGCCCGCTCTGCGATGGACAGGTACTGCTTCTGCCTAAACTTCCTCTCCAGGGCCAGAAGCTGAGACGTGGTGAAGGGAGTGCGGGGCTTGCGGTTGGTCTTGTGTTTCCTCAACGGACAGGCAGGACTGACATGACCTGGAAGGAGACACAATATGGATTTGAGGATGAGGATAAGATTAATTTATTAAGATATTGTGGATTTTCAGTATCCAGTTGTCATCAGTTGGCTGTACTTTAACAAAAATGTCTAAATGAACTGAACTTCAAGTTAAAAGTTGGTTATCTGGACACTTTTCTATCTTACAGCCTACATGTTATGAATATTCCACATATTGTGATGTGGTTAAAGTACTTCCCCACACAGTAACCCCCAATATACTCACTATCTAAGTTAAATAGAGTGATTGGTTTTCCACAGCCTGCTGGTTTTATCTATTTAATGCCTTTCCTTTCTTTAAATAGCTGTGTCTAACAGTCCTTGCAGCACAGCTTGTAGAGAGTCATAACACCAGTAAAGTGCAAATCTTGCTGAGAATATAATGAAAAGTTTGTCCTCTTCCTCCAAACTTCCAAATATAGACTACTTGGTCAAGCTTAAAAGCAACGATGATAGTGTAGTCTGTTTAATATTAAGCTTTAAAATGCTCTATAGTGTAGGAGGAACTTACGAGGCTGCGTGGTAAAGGCGCTGTTGGTGACCCAGGGTGCGCCGTCCTCTGACTCCGAAGCCTCGGATTTTACCGGCGACAAGGGCGCAGTCGTTAAACTCTTTCGGCTCCCCCCGGGAAGACTGCACGTCTCCCGACACAGATACAGAGAGTTTAAAGCTATAGGGGACACGGCCACCGAACCTCCCTCCGGTTTACAACAGGTGGACTCTCCGCCGCGGCCGTCCGTCTTCCTCACTGACATGAGCGCCTCCACGCTGAACGGATGATGCCTACGCACCGCCACCGGAGCCGTCTTCTTCTCCGCCGTCCTTTCAGCCAAATCCGCACGGTTACTGTCCTCCTCGGACGAAGTGCACCCCAAGTCGTTAAAAGTCTCCTGCGAAGCCATCTCACCTCCAGGTCTCATCCGGAAAAAAACAACAACACACACAAGTGTAGTCCAAAAATCAGAGGGCAGCAAGGTGAGTCTCGCTCCGGCGAGCGCAATGTTGTGGAGCTGTCAAGTCGGATGTGGGAGTATGTAGACTGTAGAGGCATCACGTTGACACGGCTCAATTCTGACCAATCACTGCCGCCCAAAGTATTTATGGGTGAGCAGATGCTGCCTTCAGGGACAGTCGGAAGCGGAAGGTGCTTGGTTTGAGGAGAGTAGTCCAAGAGACGCAGCAATGCAACAGACACAAAATGCACATAATAATAATAATAATGTTATTATATTTTAGCATCAGGAAGAAATGGAGTACTTGATAGCAGCAGTCCTCCAGGGTCACCAAAGGGGGTTCTCACTGCCCAGTCAGGTAAAATAAAATAGGAAATAAAACATCTTAATTTAATTCATTTCCATCTAAATTGCAGTTTTACTTACTCAGTTTTGTATTATACAATTAGGATTCTGCAGATGGGTGTCATAATAAATATAAATAAATCTTTACAGGTGGCTATAGCTTAATTCTGTTCAGTGGAAATCAAGATTTCTTTGACAACTTGACGACACAGGTTGCCCTCGTTTTGCCTTTTTGGTTTAATTGAGTGAATTATAGGAAATAGCCTGCAAAAAAATAATAGCTGTGTCACAGCATTATCACATGTTAAGCTTCAGTAATGGATTAGCTCTAACTCTAACCTCATGAGACTGCATGTGTAAACACGGGCCCCATGCGGATAATTACGGAGAATTATACCCGGGATGAAACACTAATCCTTTTTCTTCTTTATCTCTCTCTCTGATTTGTTTGCTGTTCCCTTTATTGGGACTTTCCACTGTAACTCGCCATGCTGTTGTGTGCTATGTCAGTCCAGCGTTTAAAGAAGGGTGTCACACTCAAATTACAGAGTAAATTACTTCACTAAATTACAGATTTAGTTTTTAAAATCCATGGCCTGGTCCAGCTCAACTGGACACATACTGGATGAGACGTCCACATGTCTGTAGCAGACTCATTCATCTTCTTGTCCTGTGATTCAAACCCATTCTTTGCGCACATTACAGATGAAGTTACTCATTGTGATCTCTCCAAGCACAATTTCATGTTATGTCAGATAAAAGTTCCCCCGATTCCTGATGGAGAACTTTACACTTGTTCCACCAATTTATCTGAAGAAACAGTCCTTTGATGATGGTTGAAATATTATTATGCTGAAAGGATGTTTCACTCATTTTAAGATTTTTTCCCATGGTCAGGCTTCTTTAAGTACTTTCTTATCTGTCGCCTAATTGCTCATACTTAACACCCGGACCATTGCTAATAGGGATGTTCTGTCGCTGAATGATAATTAATCACTAATTCACATCACAAGGCCTGATCCACACTCATAATCTTCTGATGTATAAGTCGTAGAAGCAGTGAGAGTTTAGGTTGGTGTGTGTGTGTGTGTGTGTGTGTAAATGTGTGTGTCCTTTATTCACAGCCTACAGCAGTGCACAACTATTACAGCCTCCCACTCCCACAAGATTAAGTTGCTTTTCAGATTGTTTTCCATAAAACTAACTGATGGCAAAAATAGTAATCTCACTTGAGAACTTCAGAGAGAAATAGAGACATTTACTTTTCATTATAGCAATTCTGTAAAAAAAGGACACATTGATTAGTTTTCCAACATCCCTGAGGATAGATTTGTATACAGTAAATACTAAATTTTCCCCCTGCATTTTAGCATGTAGCCAGCAGGCCTCTCGTCAGACTGTGGAGCAGAGCTCAGTTCCCAGGAGGCTGCCACTGCTGCCTTATTAAAGTGGGGTTATTTCACAGACAATCAGAGGTTTGTGAAGGCGCCAGTGAGCGGCCAGATGAAAGGACTGACTCCTCAGGGGAGAAACTGTTGCCTTTTTTTTCTCTTTTTTTTTGCAGTTCTGTTCAGGATCCCC